AGGAGGAGGTATAGAAAAAAAACTGAACTGTAAAAGATAGATACCTGAGTGTCATGAACTGAAGACGGTGGTGACAATGAAAGCAGCAGGCAACAATTGTGATGGCAGAACCATTGCTGTTGATTTGTCATTTTCGTTAAACAACACAGTAACCGAGATTTATGACGTTTCGCCTTTTACAGGCCTAGATCCGGCAGGACCGCTGTTCAGCAGAAGACCTCCGACCGAACGACTAAGCGACACTGATGCCAAAGTCGTCAAATGCATTCACACGGACAGCGACTTTGGAACCGAAGACGCTTACTGTCAGGAGGATTACTTTGCGAACGGCCTGGAAGAGCAGACTTCTTGCGTGCAGGAATTTTTCGCCGAACAAGCCTTGACAGGCAGGGAATTAAATTTGATTCGCTGCTTTAAATTTAAATTTGAATTAAAATCGATTCTCTGCTTTAGTCGCCTCTTTGTTGAAAGAGTTCACGTGCAGCCATAGCCTGGCCCACGTCATCTACCTGCAGTCCATACAGAACTACAGCCCGACCGGTGACGGCTGCAAGTTCCTGGCCTTGCCTTGTTTCTCAGCGCAGCAATTTCAAACCGGAAAATGTTTCACGTGCGGCCCGGCTTCGGATTTCCCAATCATTGGCTACAATGGCAGGGCATATACAAATTACAAAACGGGAAAGTACTTCTTTGGGACCACCAACAACGTCAAGGACTTGTGTGGTAAGTGATTGGCATGAATCAAACTGACTGTAGCTGCTGGCAACAGGCATACCAATTCCAATGATATGCACCTTCTACAAAGTTTTTTTAAAAGGATATTGTATTAAACCAGCGTTTTCACAATAGCCATTAAATTAAAATTCATAATAAACCAGAGAAGCGTGACCTCGCGAGAAAAAACACATGAACAACAAAGGGAAACTTTAACTTGACGTATTTATACACGACAAATTCCTTTTCCAATGGGACCAGGTTTCAGCTGGAGTTCCCAGCCCTCTTGTGACAAGTGACGAAATTCATTAGTTCTTTTTATTAAATAGTTTGAAGAAGGGCTGATAGGAGACATGATCATCATCGCATCCAGAGCCCGGTCTAGAACGACCTTGCTTCTCAATATGGTACATTTCCGATGGATGTCATAGAACGTATCGTAGCTGCTGCATTCGGGTGAAAAGCCTTCACTTGTAGAGGTTAATGGTTTAAACTAAGAAACGACATACTAGTGATGAAAGTTAAGGCGGTAAAGAAAGGATTAACATAATCTACTCAATGCAAAGCACTGAATATTCCATCAGTGAAGAAATGATGAAATAATAGTATCACCTACCATGGCATAACAGTGGACAACAAGTTCAGGAGATCACGTGGTTCATTTCCACGTTCTCGCACCATTACAGTTCCGCCAAGATCCGTCAGGCGATCATCGCTATTCTTCCGTTCGTTCCTGAAATACTGTGTTACACAGTTCATAGTCTGTAAACAGCTCACACTATTTTCTAACTCTTCGTACCCTACCCCAGCAAAACAGGTTTCCTCAGTCGAGATAACGTCGAATTTGCAAGCGGACGATCGTGAGTTCAAGTTTTGATATTATCCTGTTATTCTGCTGAAGGGAAACAGCAGGCTTGACGCTATACTTGATACGTCATTTCTAACATTAACTGTAAAATATGACCCTCATAACTGGTGGCTAAGAAAGCAGCTCCTAGTCAGAATTTCAATGAGCGAACGGTACCATAAGTGTGAGAGAAAGTCGGTTATCAACTAAAAGCCCGCAGTTATAGAATATATTCCGTTTCTGAAGGAAGAGCAGTTTGCTAACGTGAAATAATTTCGATCTTCCAAATGTGTGCCATGCAAGTTGATTTGGTAGTTTCGGTCTTCCACGGCAGAGACAGTTATCACAAGTGATCGCAGTTTGCATCTTTTTATATTTGAGTTTTCACTGCCTCTCACACAGAGTTTGTCGGGTCATTCATTTCCTGATTACCCTGAAGCCCCCCTCCAATTTAAACTCATATTTATCCCTTTATTGTCATGATGCGGTGTTATTCAGCTCTTGGGTTCTTCTCCAAGATTTATATGATCATCTCCGGAGAATCCGGATCGCCAGCAAACCGTGGGTAACATAAATAATATGCTCATCTTCAGCTCTTGATTTTCAACGCGTTAATCGTTTTAGAAAATTAGTGAGCTGCTGAGTGATTCGTGAATTGGTGCAACGCAATCAGACGTCCTCTTAGATTTCGAATTTGGTGTCACTCTCGTGAAACTGTATTAAGCAATACAAGTTGCTCATACGTCCAAGTGCGCTAACTAACCCATGAATGAGCCAAGATTTCATGACGTATTGCCCCGCTGTATCCAGAAAGTTCACCAACTGGAAAATTCACCTATTCTACATTTGATCGCCGATGACATATTTATGATGATTATAAAACAGTATTATTTAGAAATAGCATATTTTAAAGATTATGTTAATGAGCAGAATAATTATCATGCTTCATCTTTATATAAAGCCTCAGAAAATTCAAGAAGGTCAGTTTCAAAAACTTCTTCGAGTGTGATACTTCGTTACGAATTTTCATTAACCATCATGCGAGCGAAAAGGGAAGACAGAAACTTTGAGTGGAAGGTCACTTATTTTTCAAAGAAGACATATTGGAAGCGTGAGATGTATCAGAAGCACAATTTTCGTTTTCATGTGATAACACTGGATGTGCCATTGAGGCTGTGAAGGGAGTTCATAGCCATATTGCGGATGCAGCTCATATAGAAGCTTTGAAGATGGAGGATATTTTAAGTGATCGTGCAGCAGATTGCCAGCAAGCACCCCAATATATTTTACCTAATGCGTCGGTGAAACTTAGCCAAGCTGCTGCAGAACATATTGCGAAGACCGACAGTGCTAAAAGAACGATCCGAAACATAAAAGAAAGACAACCAGCGGCAACAGCTTTGCCCATAACCCGAGACAAATTGTATATTCCGAAGAATATTAGACATCTAAAGAAAGTGAACCATTCTTGCTGCTTGATTCAGGACTGACCTAAGATAGAATTGTCATATTTTCTACCGAAAGAAATCTTCGGTTACAGGTCTCAACTGAACACTGGTTTTAGAAAGAACTTTCAAAACAGTGCCTCGTTTGTTTAACCAACTCTACCTTTTACCACTGCATGGTATTCAGGTCTAGAGTTCAATTCCGCTTTTATGTGCTCCACTGTCAGACAAGACAGAGGGCGCAATTGTGACTGATTTAGAACCTGCCATAGTCAGTGCTATTCGTTAAGAATTTAAAAGGTCTACACATCGAGGATGCTCCTTCCATTTCTCGCAGTGTATATCTCTCAGGATTCAGGCAGAAAATCTTCAACGAAGGTACGAAACTGATGTCGAATTTGCAATGAAAATGTGATTGTTGTCTGCGTTGACCTTAACCCCAACAAAAGATGTGCTAGAAGCATTTGAGGTTCTTAGCGGTAGCGGTCATAACATGCCTGAAGAATCACAACGAGTGATTCATTACTTTTAGTACTGCTGAATTGGACGTCCTCAACGACGCATGGCACTCAGAATGCGCCGATTCTCCCTAGAAATGTGGAACTCTTACGAAGGAGTAAGACACCGTCTTCCGAAGACAAATAATTCAATTGAAGGGTGGCATAGTGGATTCGAAATACAAATATCGATACAACACCCTAATATCTGGAGGTTGACTGAAGCTACACAGCTTCAGCAGAGCATCAGAACATTGCAAATTGAACAATATGTGAGTGGCCATTAAGGTAGCCCTGCGCGTAAGAAATATGGTAATTGCGCTGAGACTTTTCAGAGTAGTCGCGAATTATGACAGAAGTAATGTTTCAGAGATTTTGAGAAGGCGTGGCATATAATATAAATTACTAATTAGATATTGCAGCAACAGCATATTTGTATGCGTGTAAATAATGTCTGTGAAGTTTATTTCAACTAAATGATTTCAATGAAATCTGTGTTTTATTCGAAATTTGCAGGTACCTACGTCATTATCATTTTCAGGCAAATTAATTCAAAATCAGCACATTTTAACTTTTTAGAATTACTGACAATACTTTATGATATGAAATAAGTTGTTTCCTACGTTTCATGGTTTTTAACGAATGAATCACCGGCGACCAATTGTACAATCGATGAATTTTCCTTTCGACGAATTGGGGGTCGGTGAATTGTAGTCAGTGAACCTTCCTAGATCTTTGCCTCGAGCCTTGCAACTAGTTGTCTATAGGGGCCTTTTGAACAGGTCAGGACTCCACGACGTTTCAGCACTTGCAGCCAAGTGCACTTCGCATCACAATTGCATTGGAATACGTCGTGAAATCTGCCCTTGGAGAAATTATTGTTTATTTGACATGCTCGGTCGTACAAAGAACTTCTATGGTATTTATGGGATATCGTATGAGGAGTATCAGCTGCAGTAGCGTCGTTAGTGAAAATCACGAGATGGCTTCAGCGGACAAAATGATGTGAGACTGATCTGGCAGTG